CGGGTGCCCAGCCCTGGTGTCCAGCCCTGGTTTGGACCCGTGTCCAGCCCTGGGTCAGCTGGATCAGTGTGCCCAGCCTTGGTTCAGCCCTGGGTGTTCAGCCCTGCTCCATCCTGGGTGCCCAGCACTGGCCAGTGGTGCCCAGCCCTGGTTTGCCCCGGGGTGCCCAGCCCTGGTCAGTGGTGCCCAGCCCTGCTCCATCCCCAGCCCTGGTCAGTGGTGCCCAGCCTGGCTCCATCCTGGGTGCCCAGCCCTGGTCAGTGATGACCAGCCCTCTCCATCCTGGGTGCCCAGCCCTGGTCAGTGGTGCCCAGCCGTGGTCAGTGATGCCCAGCCCTACTCCATCCCGCGGTGCCCAGCCGTGGTCAGTGATGCCCAGCCCTACTCCATCCCGCGGTGCCCAGCCCTGCCAGGCTCTCTCAGCCCATCCTGTCCCTCTGCCGCCGAGGTGACGCTGTTGTGCTGCTGGCTGTTCTCAGGGGGAGGTGTGCACCATGATCAACAAGAAGTACAGCGAGTTCCTGCCCAGCATGCAGAGCGCAGAGGACCTGGTGGCACAGGTGGAGGGGCTGGCCGACAGCATCGACCTGCTCAAGGCGGGCATCGAGAACGAGGTGACTCCCAGGGGGGACATTCTGCTCATTTCATCCCAGTTCGGAGCCCCCCACCCCATCGTGGGGTGTTTGGTCACAGCCACAAACCTGCCAGAGCTCAGGGAGTGTCTGCACAGCACTTTGGTGGTGGGATTTTGGGGTTTGTGGCAGGACTCGGTGATCCTGGGCGTCCCTTCCAGCTCAGGAGGTTCTGTGATTCTGGGATCCCTGGGTGATATCAGCCCTAAAGAATGCCTTGAGGTGACACCAGGGTGTACATTAAGGGCTGGCATTAAGGGTTTGTCACTCTTGTGTGGGTGGAAAAGTGTGTCACAGCGTCCTTCAGAGAGCAGGACAGGGGCAGGGGGTGGGACACAGCAATAAAAAGGGTGGAGTTTTTTCCTCCTCACCAAATCATTCTATGAACAGACATAAATAAGTGAAATTGAAGAGGAGGATGTGTGTGCTAGGCAATGCTGTCAGTGAACTGAGAGCTGCTGCTCTTTTAGGTGCAGCGAGATCTGAACGTCGCCGTTGCTGAGTTCACAGAGCTGAAGCAGCAGCTGGAGAGGGATACCCTGGTCCTGAGCGTCCTGAAAAAGCTGCAGGAGGTGAGGAGGGGAGCAGGATGATCCTGTCCTCAGTGTGAGGCATTGTTCTGTATTGTTTTGGATGAGTGTCTGCAGCTTAGAGATTTGGGTGAGTGTCTAGTTTAGAGATTTGGGTGTCTGTAGCTTACAGATTTGGGTGTCTGTAGCTTACAGGTTTGGGTGAGTGTCTGCAGTTTGCAGGTTTGGATGAGTGTCTGTAGTTTAGAAATTTGGGTGTCTGTAGTTCAGAAATTTGAGTGAGTGTCTGTAGTCTAGAGATTTGGGTGTCTGTAGCTTACAGATTTGGGAGAGTGTAACTTCCCAGTTTGGGTGAGTGTCTGCAGCTTACAGGTTTGGGTGAGTGTCTGTAGCTTCCCAGTTTGAATGAGTGTCTGCAGCCTTAGAGATTTGGGTGAGTGTAGTTTAGAGATTTGGGTGAGTGTCTGCAGTGTCAGAGCAGAGCTGCAGTGACACCCACGTGTGTTTGGCCTTTGCAGTTTGATACAGCTATCAAGGAGTGCAGCTCTGCCCTGCAGGAAAAGCAGTATGTGACAGCAGCTCAGCAGCTGGAGCAGGTAGCAGTGCCCCTTGGCAGGGTGCTGAAGGCACTGGGTTGGTTCCAGAGGATGCTTTTCCCTGGCAGGGGCAGTGCTGACCCGAGCTGTGTCTGCTCTCCCCCAGGCACGGAGCAGCCTCCGGAGCCTGGAGTCCCGCAGGGGCTTTGAGCTGAAGATCCTGAAGGCCCTGGGCACAGAGCTCACAGTGCAGACACAGAACATGATCTACCATCTCGGGGAGGAGTGGCAGAAGCTCATTGTGTGGAAGCTTCCCCCTTCCAAAGGTACTCACAGGGTTTTTTTCACTCTTTGTACCCCACTGAAGTGCTGTTTTCACCTGCAAGGTGGGAAACTGTTGGGCTGAGGGTGGAGGGTAGATCTTTGCTGTGCCCTGTGAGAGGCCTGGCTGTGCTTTGGTGCAGGAAGCAGCAGCCTGGAGGCCCTGGTGCTCTCGGAGCTGCACTTGCACACGCTGCCACCCCAGGACGAGGACGCTGCTGTGCCACCCGTGGCTGCCGTGCTGCAGGCCTTGGCTGTCCTGGGGGAGCTGCACTCCAAGCTCAAGGATTTTGGTAAGACAGACCCCAGAAACAGCCCCAATAGCTCAGGGGGATACTTCAGGCTTGTTTTAACGTGGAGAGTGAGAGCCACCTCACTCCAGCAGGACACTGGAAAACTTCTTCCTCTACTGGCTTGTGTTTCCCACTGAGGTGAATGCTGTGGCTCTTACTGATAGGAAAATGTTTATTCCCATTATCTACCTGGAATTATTTCTCTTTTCCTGACAATTGAGTGTATTTTTCATCTATGACTATGTGGTTTCATAGCCTAATGCTTGAGGAGTTTTACCTCATTAGTAACTCCCTGATAGAGCAGGTCAAGGGATTATTCCTCCCACTTCTTGCAGTCTCTAAATCCAGAGCAGTCAGGGCTGGCTCTCACTGGAGCAGTGTGCTGTTGGAAAACCTCTGTTTTTCCCTTTCCTCAGGCCAGTTGTTGCTGCAGTACATCCTGAAGCCACTGATCTCACACCCATCTCTGGAGCCAGTGCTAGAGGAGCAGCCAGATGTGTTCATCCTGAGGTTCAGGTCCCAGGAGCTCGCTCTGGACGAGTCCTCTCCCATGGAGGTGTTTGACAAGATCAAGCTGGTGTTTGAAGTTCTGCACAAACACCTGCTAAGTATGTAGCTCCTCTCTTCTGGAGTTACTTGTGATCAGTACCTTATTCATTTCATGAGGGTTTTCTAGAATACCTGATTGTTAATCAGCATTATGTGCAAGGAGAATGGAGGGAAGGCTTTGAACTGATGGAGGGTCTGGCCCAGGAAGCAGCTGTATTCAGATCTGTTTCTCCTCCCTGGGATGCAGATGTGCCTCTGGAGCAGCCTGGGGAGGGCAGAAAGGAAGGCAGAGTCACCCTGGCAGAGCTGCTGGGGGAGCTCATCTGGGAGGAGCTCTCAGACTGCCTCATCCACAACTGCCTGGTGAACTCCATCCCAACCAACAGCAGCAAACTGGAGCAGTACAAAGAGGTGGGTCCCAAAAAGCCCCTCAGGTTTGAACACAGAGCCCAGGCACTCCAGTGGGATGGCATCCAGTGCTTAATGTTCTCCAAAACCTCTTTGCTTTCGGCCTTTATACCCAAT